GGCAGTCCAGCTGGCAGAGTTGAATCCAAATACCTGGTGGGACGGCGGAGTGAGGGATGGTCTTCCAGAGGTACAGTCCAAAGTATCGCAGGCGCAGGCGGAGGAGATACAGTCTCGAGATGAAGATGGCGGCACGGAGAAAGGGGCCTGGCTGGAAACCCGAAGGTCCGATGCGTGGCGGTTGTGGACGTGACAAACACATAGCTCTCGTAAATAATATACTTGTTAGTGAGCGCGTTGGTAATGATATAAGTTTAGAAAGAGTTATATACGCAAAGACAGAAGACGGGACAACACATCTTTCAACTTTCAACAAACAAATGGTTCATTGCCGGACGCTTCGCCTTCTGAACTCCACTATAGGAGGGGGAAATTTAAAAGGAAAGGGAAGGGGAAGGAGGGGCAAGACAAGGCCCCGCACGGAAGCCTGCCTGGCAAAGGTACACCACAATCCCCTATTTCCACAACACCGCCCACCGACTAAAAACAGTGGCTAGAAGCTTCGACATAGCCGTTGCGTTTTCGTGCCCTTCAAGTTGAGCGCAATGTGCCCGCCTGGTGAACTCTTCCCTCCTCCCAGGATCGACTGTGCCAAGAGGCACGCGGCACCCTTTGTTCCATGTGCGGTCGGACGGGTGTATCCCGTGCCCTTCTCGTGCGGGGCAGAGTACATCGGGCAGACGTGCCGCTGCCTCAACGACCGCCTGCGCGAACATGAAAGAGAAATAGCAAGAAACGACGAGGACTCCCAACACCCCATGGTCCATCAGCTCAAGGTTTGCGCTCCCTGTGCCCCTGAGTTCCCGTCCGCGCGTGTTCTGGGGGCCGACAAAAACCGCTACGGGCGCGATATCGTGGAGGCGTACGCCATAAAAGAGGCGCCGAAGAACATTTAGTCGGCCTCGTTGTCGCTGTCGGAAAGAGAGGTGACATTTCTGAGACCGGAGTTGACGACCTTGACGGGCAGGGCGAGTGACCCTTGCTCCTCAGAAGGAAATCGGGACGCCTCCTTCCTTCCTCTCCTTCCCGTTGTCTCTGCGGTTCCTTTCCCCCAGTTTTTCTCCCGGGGCCTTGTCTTGCCCCTCCTTCCCCTTCCCCCTCCTTTTAAATCTCCCTCTCCTATAGTGGAGTTCCGAAGGCGAAGTGTCCGGCAATAAACTATTTGTTTGTTGAAAGTTGAAAGATGTGTTGTCCCGTCTTCTGTCTTTACGTATATAACTCTTTCTAAACTTATACACAAAATGGTGTTACTTCTTTTTCTTTTTTATTCCTACGAAATCGCATAGAGTCCCTATAAGTCAGAGCCCCAAAATGGCCGATGGAAGTAGTCATCCCCCGTTGTCAGACTGCGCTGCTGTGGTTGCCAGACTGTCAAATACTCTTTAAGAAGGCCAAACTCTCTCAGTATAAACGGCTCTGTCGCAAAGGCCCTCTGGCCCCATCGGAAGACGACGACGACGCTCCAGGCAGGGCGATCGAATTTGTCGAGCTGCTACTTATCCGCGATTTGCGCAGGCTGCAAAGGCTAGAACAGAAAGGCGATTACTGCGAAGGCGATTAGTACGTTGGCACTGACGGACGAAGTTAGTTTCCGCCGCCTGAACCTGGACAAGTCTTTTCGGACGGATCGAGAATTCGGGGTCTGTTAGGCCTAGAGCCAGACAAGTCTGGCGTCGGCAGAGCTGGACGGACTCGACATTGCTGCTGGTGTCAGCTGCGGAAAAGACGGAGGCCCTACGCAAGCAAGCAACGGATCCCAATGGGGGTCCATCGAAGCCTCTGGAAGCGAAGATTCCCGAGCAACGAGCGAAAGCCACCTTCAAGCCAGGCTAAATGGTACGAGGCCCACGTACGTTAAGTCTGCTCGACGGCGGGTCGCGATTAGCGAAGCGGGGGAGGGGCTTCACAAACGAATTCGAAGACCGAGTGCCGAGAGTATCGACACCATAACGTCGGAAGTACCGGAGGACAGCACCGAGAACTCCATGGAAGTCAACGAGACAGAGGGCGGTTCAAGAGGGGAATCCAAGACCTATGAAGGTCCTGATAATGAGGGTGAGCCATGGCAAGAAGTGTATTACCGAAAGCGCAAGGCAAGGAAAGAAACGATGGACGTCGACACGCTTGCTACGACAAGCGCGAAGAAGCTAACGAATCAAGAGGAACGCTATGTGGTCGTCTTCAGGGCCCAAGAACGATACGACCTCACGAGTATTCCTACTAGCACACTTCAAAGAAACTTCTACACCGCACTGAACATCAAGCAGGCACAGTGCACAAGGGAAGAACTGCCGACATTCAGGACGTCAAAAGTCACCAATACAATTTCGGCCATAGTTCGGGACCGCCTGCAGGCACAAACCTTGCTGAAGATTAGAAGCCTCAAGGCGTCAGACAAGGCAGTGACAGTGATCGCCCACGAAATACCCCCGGAGGACACATGTAGAGGAGTGGCAGACGGAGTAGACCCGAAGGAGACTGCGGGCGAACTGCACGAGGCACTCCACTGCAGGACACAAGAAATTCTCTACGCCAGGCCACTGGGCAGCAGAGGGCTGGCACTGGTCACATTCCAGGGAAAACGTCCACCGAGGACGATACTGTACCATGGCTTCATCACCAAGGTGACTCCGTACAAGCCCACTACAGTGATTTGTCGTCGGTGTCAAGGCCTGGGCCACAAGGAAATGGTGTGCACTAGGAAACCAAGGTGCACCGAGTGCGGCTGCATTATTCAAGACGGCCACGTTTGCCAGCGCAAGTACTGCGTAAACTGCCGATCGCTCACGCATCTAGCGACGGACAACAAATGCCCGGCGAAAATTCGGGCAGACAAGATGCTGCAGCAGAAGACCAGAAAGGGCGGGCCGTCAAGTAGGCAAGCAGCCACGGCGACGGGGCAGAGGACGGAGGTAGAACCGCCCCACGTGACCATAGACGAATTTCCACCGCTAGAAGCAAGAAGTAGTGCACTCAAGAGAAATTCACCAGCGCGCAAGAGTAGAAGCAGGAGCGCCGCAGCTGGTAGCACCAGGAATGGCAGGAAGGCGTCGCGAAGTGCGTCACGTGACGAAAAGCCAACCATCACGTTGCGCGGAAGGTCACCGTCAGCTCGACGGGTTCGCAACAATGACAAAAGCTATGCCGAAGCCGCGAAGAAACCGAAAGGCTACTACGCCGATGGTGACGACGAGGTCAAGGCATGGCAAACAGAGCTCCGAGCCATCGAAGCAAGAAAGCAAGCGGACGCCGACAAATGCAGGCGCCTCGAGACTGAACTACTGCAACTTCGACAGAAGATCGAGGAAGAAAGCAGGCGTCGCGAGGCACGAAAAAGCACCATTTTAGGTCACATCAAGACAGCAATAGAGGCCAGGAAGACACAACAAGAGCAGCAAAGAAAACAGCGTGAGCAGCAGGCAGACAGCCCAGCTTCTCGGGGAAGAGATCCAATTCGCGAGGAGAGGACCGAAGGGACGGCGACTGCAAGCAGCTTAACACCGCAGCAACCTACGGGATGGCAAGTGGCATTACAGCGAATGCAAGCCCAGATACAAGCAGAGATGCAGACCCAGATGCAACAGATACAACAGCAAATGTTACAAATGCAACAGATGCTGACGTCCCAGCAGGCTCTACCAACCAGCTGCCCTACGCCACAAGATAGCCAACAATGATGCAAGCAAGGAAGCGCTGAGAATCCTACAATGGAATTGTCGCGGTCTCGCAAGCAGAAGGGCAGAGCTCGTCCAACGACTCAAGAATGAAACTTTTGACATTCTTTTATTGCAAGAAACGAAGTCGGATCAGATCACATTACCAGGATTCAAACAATATTACATGCCATCTATCACGCACACCTACAGGAAGGAAAAGAAAATCCAGGCACAAGCGGCTGTTTTTGTGCAGGCGAAGCTCCCACACATCACCATCGACACATCCCAGTGGTGTACGGAACTCCAAGAAGTTGTGGCGCTACGCGTAGCGCTGCAATTCACGAGCAAGAGGCTCACGGTGGCCTCGGCGTACAACAGGCCGCACACTACGAAGGACTTTTCTTGGATCAGGCACCTACGCAAAGAATATTCTGATGACTTCATGGTCCTGGGAGGCGATCTCAATACACACGTAGAACACTGGGCGATAGGCGACACGGCAAGGGGGGCCGCAGACCTGCGCGACATCACAGAGCAGGCGGATATGGCCCTAATAAACGACTTCAGCAGAGCAAAGAGGTATGCAACGGGAGCAGGGCACAGAGACTCCATCATCGACGTCACGATAGCGCCTGCAAGCACCGCACGGAAGTTACAGTGGTCCATATTAGACGACGCTTGGGGAAGCGACCATTTCCCCATTGTCATGGAGCTGGACATCGGAGCCAAGAGCAGCCCAGGCAAAAAACAGACCAAAACGATCATCTGGGATGACTTTCGGAAGAACATCGAAGACCAGGGAGAAGACTTTGAGTTCCAACACGTCGCAACCCTCCTGACGACAGCGGCCAGGATAGCCGTTGACGAGCGCCAAGTGGACGAGGACACTCCAACGCCAGATACGCATCTTCTCTCATTATGGGACAGAAGAACGGCAGCACTCACAACCTACAGAAAGAAGAAGCTGAGAAAGCATCTCATAAAAGTGAACAAGCTCACCAAAGAGGCAAGCCAGTACGCAAGCCAGCATGGCTTCGACAGATGGATAGAATATTGTGAGACCTTTGATAGACTCACAAACATGGGAGACGTATGGCGGACTTTCAACTCTATGTACGGTAAAAAGAAGGGAGTTAGTCCCGTTCCCGTGATAGCCCTAATGTCAAACGAGAAGATGGAGGACATCCTCAAGCAGCTCGGGGAAGTGTTTTTCCCTCAACCAACCAAAAAGCCCGACCCGAGCACCTACTGGAGGAAGCATACCGGACCGTCCAGGCAATCCGAAGATGAGCCTTTCACGGAATGTTAGATGGATGCAGCAATCAAGCAATGCCGATCAAAGAGTACACCTGGACCTGATGGGATCACCGCCCCCATGCTTAAGAACGCTCCGGAGTCAGCCAGGCGAGCAATGTTGCAATGGTTCAACCAAATCTGGGACACTGGCGATTTCCCGGAAGAATGGAGGATATCCGTGGTGACGCCGATTCCGAAAGCTGGGAAACCCGCGACAGATCCGGCGAACGTACGGCCGATCTCCCTCACCTCTATCATGGGAAAGCTCATGGAGAGAATGGTCCTGGCCAGAATCCAACACAACATACGCCACAAAGGAATACTCCACCCCACGCAGACTGGGTTTCGGGCTAACCTAAGTACCCACGACAGCCTGCTTATGATCTACAACGATGTTATCGATCGGCCGCGAAGCGATGGAAGTCTGAGAGTAATCGTATCAATTGACATCAAGAAAGCGTTTGACAGCGTCCCCCACGAATCTGTAGTCGGCAAGATGGAAGAGCAGGGGCTCACTGGCAAACAATTGGATTTTGTGAAGTCTTTCCTTGCGAACCGCAAGTACAGAATAAAGGCAGGTTACGGAAAGGAAGCGCGAGAAGGCCCGACTAGCGAAAACAACATCGGCGTGCCGCAAGGAGCAGTTCTCTCGCCAACGCTATTTAACATAGTTATGGCACCACTGCACTGGCGGCTCTACAAGATCGAGAAGCTGAAAGCGACGGCGTATGCAGACGACGTCACTATATGGACGCATGAAGGTACGCCAGAGCAACAGGAGGCAGCACTGCAAGAAGGACTAAATACCATCGGCGACTTTTTGAAAGAAGTAGGGATGAGACCATCCCCAGAAAAGACTAAATACACCGTGTTCGGGGCCGGTAACGTCCAAAGAAACCTGCAGCTCACCTTCGCCGGGGACCCAATCGTTCGGGAAGAGAGCATCAAGCTTTTAGGGGTCACCTTCGGAAACTCACCCAGCATCACTGACAAGTGGATGGCCGAGATGAGAAAGAAGTGGAAGCAAGGCCTCAACCTGGTCAGAAGAATCTCCCATCGACTTGGAGGAGCCGGAGAAGCAACGGCAAGGAAGTTAGTAATGGCCACACTGGTCTCGAAAATCACATATGCGGCGCGATTTTATTCATTACGGTCGTGTCACAAGAACCAGTTCCGAGCTATGGTCGGAACTGGTTCTTGTGGCACACTGGCCACACTGGTCTCGAAAATCACATATGGGGCGCGATTTTATTCATTACGGTCGTGTCACAAGAACCAGTTCCGAGCTATGCTCAATGACGCACGAAGAGCCATCTTGGGGCTACCAAGAAGTACAAAAACGGAGAGGATGAGGCAACTCATCTTTTTGCCAGAAATTGAGGACCTACTGGTGCAGCAGACAGTGACGCACACGGCGCGTGTGCATCACACAGAGGAAGGCCGAGCAGTGGCAAGCTACATAGGCATCAAGCTCCCGGAGACCCTAGACCCCCTCCCCCCAAGCAAGGCACCGTGGGATGTGATTAGCGTCACGCAAGGTGCGAAACCCCTTCCAAGAAATATGGACCCGGAGCGACACAAAGCCCGCAGGAAAAGGTACGCCCAACAGCACAAGAAGAAGGTCAAGGAGCTGTTGGCAAGCCAGCACAACACAGTGGTGTACGTCGATGGAGCAACAAAAGGGAAGGAGTATGCCGCAGGAGCAGTCTTCTACAGAGGCGAGGGGGCAACTCCCTTTGAAATTGCCACTAGCAGCGGACTGGGCACGGAGGTCACATCAGACACGGTAGAAGAAGCGGCTCTTCTGTTCACGTTGGGAGTATACGGGCACCTCCCCGGCAAGACGAGAAACCTCATTATCTATACGGACTCCCAGGAGGCGGTACGAAACATGTACAAGCTCAAAGCAACTGCAAGCCCGACGGTACACGCCTTCTTCGACACGGCGCTCAGCCTATACCGGGAGCACGGCACAAGAATCAGTGTACGATGGGTCCCGGGACACCAGGAGATCTCAGGAAACGACATGGCTCACGCAGCGGCACAGTGCGGGATGAGAAGAATTCCTCAGTTGCCATCCCAACAGGCGTCCAACTGCGAAGAGTCAGTCGAACAGCCAGAAAATACGACATGCTACGACCCCGTCGAAGAGCTGCGTAGATGTCGCAAGATGCGAAAGATTCAACTAGCGGAAAAGTGGCAACCCGAGGACTACCCGCTTCCGGCGAAAACCTTCAAGCGAAAGGAAACGGTTCAACTTCGGCGCATCCATACCGAAGGCGCGGTCACGCCAAGGCTCAAGTACCACATCAACCTCTCGCAATTGCGGCGGACGCAGCCGTACGCGGTCCCTCGGGACCCGCGATGTCAGAGATGCAAGGATCCAGAAGCCATTCCCAGGCTCGACCATCTCCTATGGGAATGCCAAGCTCTAGCCTTGTGCAGAGTGGAAGCCATCGAGACGCTACCCGAGGAAGACAGACCCAAGAGACTCGTGGATTGGACGCACCCACAGGGCGAAGCCCAACGCCGGACGAGGATCCTCCAGTCGCTTCTGGACTTCGTAGCCAAGTCCGATCTTGGGGACTCCATATGAAAACACCCCTCATGACCTATCGCACAGTCATCCCTCACCACCCATAATCACGCAAGAACGAGGCTGCCAGATCCGAGGATCACCGCGGCGCGGATAATCTTTCTATTCGTAGTTCTTGGTTTCCAATAAACGTTTTCTACCTACCTACCTGGCCCCATCCCTAGCAAGAAAATAAATAAAAATTAAAAATAAAATTAGCTGGAGATTTAGCGAAAAATTAGTTCTTAATGGGAGGGCAGCAGGCGAGAATGAGGGGAGGGTACGGAGGGGGAGGGAGATACATACCCTCCCCTCCGTACCCTCCCCTCTACCTCATGAAGAGCTGTGCTCTGATTCGGCATTACAGAGAATTGTAAACGTCGTTAATTTTTCTTTTTTGAGCTTGGAGTATAGCGAAAGCTATGGGCGCAAGGTCACAACACTGAGAGGTGCTGATCTTGTTCGGTAGCACGTGCAGCGAAAGCAGCAATTTAAGCTACGATCTCGGACTCGCAGTCCTCACTTCGGTGGACTGTAACCATGGAATTTACAGCCAGGTCAGCGGACTTACCGCGGACCTACGGGTTTCTTCGTAATGACGTCAGGTCACGAGATAAGCATATTTTTCTGGTCCACGAACCTGGTTCCCTTGATTTGTCCGCCGTATGAACACACGAGGGGTGCCAACACTGAAATTAAAAATTTCTCTAGCGAACGCCTGAACTATCCCTATTTTCTCCGAAATTTCCCTCGCTTGCCCCCCAAAAATTACATTAATAAATGTTCATTGTTTTTGCCTCACTTAGATTATTACGATGATAGATATATTATGTATACGCCTCGCCTTACGCCTCGCGTACGTTTAGCAAAAGTTAGTTTATCGGGCCAAAACCGTAACCAAAGCAAATCTGTCGAGAGGAAGTATTACCCTCGGAGATTTAAACTGACAAATGTAACCCTATCCCCGCCTCAGGCGTTATGCACGCCATTAGGACACAGCACCGCTTGATAACTTCAGTAGCGCTTTTTATAATAGTGAGTCGAAAACAAAACGTGTAACACAAGTAAGAGTTCTCAAACTCGAACACACGGCACACGGAAACTAACATTTCGTGCACGGAACTTCACAAAAAAATATTAGTCATGGTAATGACCAACATTTTAGTATCTGTTTAATAATATACAGACGTCGCAGTACTTCTCCTAGTACTCAAGCTTTCTTTTTAGAGAGGGCACCTCGGCGCTTTCAGAAGCTTCCACTTGGCTGAGTCTATTCCTCTATAGTTTTCACGAGGGCCATGAAAACAAATAAAAAATTATTTTGCCAGAAAAAAAAAAAAAGTTGTTCTAGTGCTCTTCAGTTTTTCCAGATGGTCGCACAACAAACGGCTAAACGGCTAGAGGGAATAACTTAAACGTAGCCAAAGCCGCTAAAATACGATGTTACGTCCAAATAAAAACATGATTGACCTATAAAACTCCAGATAAAAATGGTGACAGAAATTTCCTTCGAACTAGCAAGATTTCCCTTATTCCTTATAGACCAGAATATTACGTTAATCTGGGAAATTTCCCTCGGGTTGGCAGCCCTGGAATACACCCACCGGAAGAGTTCTTCATCGCCCAGTTGCTTTCCTAGTGCGCCAGGGGGCGATAGTGCTTGAAGCGAGACAATTCTGCGCAAGTTGAAGGAGTTTTTGAGGCTTTAAAAATCATTTCAAGAACGAATACTTTTTTTTCTAGTGAGTTTTAGCAATGCGTATGCGGAGCAAACGCGAGTACTGTGCGTTTGCGTTGGTGTTGCGTGTTGCACACTGCGCGTTTGGAGGAGCCCAAACTGCGTCTGGAATTGGAGTGGGGTGACGACACGCATACGCAGCGTGGAGCACGCAACGCAAACGCACGGTGGTTACGTCTGCTCTTATACGCAACACTGAAACTCTAAAAATCAATATGATTCAAATCATAGTTATTTTCGCTGGGGCATCCTCCGCACCTCCGCAAAGCCCTCCACAACGAAGAAGCCGCTACTGCGCCTGCGCGCCCATTGCCTTGACTGTAGAGTTTCGGGTATCGTAGCGGGTTGGCGCAGAGCGTCGCGGGACTGCAAAAACGACCTACGAAAACTCCTTATTAACCTTAGTTTTTTTTCCAACGGAAGTTCCCCGATATCCTCGCGGTGCACTTGGTCGGCGAAATGCGCGGACGGACAGCGACGCCGATGTGCGACAGCGGACGATAACCGGCTGCATGTTATCATTGTATTCACCTATTTCTATTTCATTAGGTATTGCAGAGTGAAAGCGCCAGAAACCGGACATGTGCAGAATTGGAGGCACGATCTGCCGTCAAGTCCGGTCGTGTTTATCATTGGGGAGTTCGGCAACCTGCAGTGTCAAAAGCCCCGTGTCGAATGCCCCGCGGCAAATGTCCCGCTATATTTAACATATTAATAATTGTACTGTGTGTATGTCTTGAACTAGTTAAACAGTCGTGTGTAATACGTACGATGGTGTACAATGGTGTATTACTAGTGCGTAGGCACGTTAAAGACCCAAAGCTGTGAGTGCCACCGCAGCCTGGGTTCCTTTACGTGCATCACGCAGTGGTAACATACACACCAGTACGATGCTCACTCAGGTCGAAACGGGCATGGGTGGGGATTGACCCTAGGGTGCCTGGGTTGTGCAGCCCTTTTTGCCTTGCTTCTAATAGTTTCAGAACTTCTTAAAGAAGTGCTCGCCCTTGTCTGAGCCTGCACCCTGAGCATGTATTGGACACAAGGGATGCGTCATAGCTCAGCGTGATCTCGGCTCTCGTACCAATTACCGAGTGCTGCATCCGCGTTCGGCGAGGATTCGGATCAAATTACACGCTTGGTGCCTGTGAAATGGCAACCGCCCTTGTTTCTTGTGGGGCTATGCAAGTTGGCGGGACGAAGGAACCTCGATATCGCTGCCAGCTGCGATTGGTCAGCGCGCAACGTCGCTGACCAATCGCAGCAGGCGGCGATGTTCCGGTCCCGCCTCGTCCCGCCATCTTGCATAGCTCCCTTGATTATGTTTACCCCGAGCTTTCAACGTGCCTTTCAAACTTTTGTAATGCGAAAGCATGAACTCTCCCATGGAGGGAGCTGACGTCATCAGCCGCGAAATGGCAGGCAAATTCCCCTGTCCCCAAAGGAGCGGAGTGAAGCCACGATCTGAAGCATCTTAGCTTTGAAGCCGCGCAAAAAGCCACGCAAAACGACAGCTAAATTCACCTCTTCAAAAGGAGCGAAGTGAAGCCAAATCCATGATGGATTATGCTCCCATTGGCTGGCGCACGAGGTGGTTCTCATTTGAACCCGTTCGCATTTCTACCTTCTCGTTTTTACCTTCTCATTTCAACCCAGCGCCAAACAACTTTCGCGTTTCCCCCTTTCTCATTTAAACCGTTCTCAAAACAAACTTTCGGATTTTGACCCTTCTCAAAACGACTTTTCTCATGTTAACCTTTCTCATTTCAAATTTTCTCAAAACATACTTTCTGGTTTTGACCATTGTCAGAAAGACTTTTCTCATTTTAACCTCTCTCATTTCGAACCCAAATTAATCCAACATCATGATCTCGCAATCTTTCTGCGGTATTTATGGCGAATTCGGGTAATTAATTGCCTTCGAGCCCTTGCCTGTGGCACCGGCGACCAAAAACGCGCCAGCGGCGCATCAAGTGACCCTCTCCACCCGAATGCAAAGCACAATGAACTGGCGTTTTTATTTGACTGGGTCGCTAGTGAGCTCTGTTAACTTCTTCTTCGATCATTGTATGGTAGCACGAGCACGCTGCATACGCCAACAACATAAATTACGACTCTCTCTTTGAGATGTGTGTGAACAGAAGCGGCTTCACAAAACTTTTCAAAATATTGGCATTACCGCTGTCCGTACAGCTGACAGAATATTAAAATATAAAATCAATGAAAAGGCAGATGTATAAATCAGTGTGGTGCTGCCCGCACGCGCGTCAAATTTCAATAAACTTCGTTTGGATTTTCGATTAACTGTTGCCACGGAGGCTTGCCAGCGTCGCTTTCCATGTTCTGTTTACTGTTAGTACCTTTTTTGGAATCCTCAGTCTTCTCATTGCACCCACCCTCCTTGAAACTGTAACGCGTGTTCAAGTTTTAAACTGCATCACTATGCATACTTCTTTTCAGCGGTGTAATAACTTGTTATTACAGAGTTGAAAATAAAGTGATGTATGATGCAGCCCGTGTCTCAGAGCAAACATACCTTGCTCAGGCTAGATAAATTCTTCCAAAAATGTTGACTTTCTTTGAAACATAAATTATCTTTCTCTTCGTTGTTTTTGCTATCTTGTCTCGGAGCACAAAAGGGTGCCTGTCTCGATGGCTTCGTTTGCCACTCGAACCCGCTATTTGCCGCCTCAGCGAGCATTGTTTCGTTTGGTTTCCTATCCCGATTCGAATGTGACGATACCGGATACAGTCTGGCAGACAAGCTGCCCGACCTCTTGGAGCTCGGGAAAACTTCTGCTGGAAAATTGCCGGTACACGTCTGAGAAGCGCAACCCGAAAAGCTTGCACCCGCCAGCCTTTGACCCCGCGAACGCCCTTGCCGAAGATATGGGAAAACTTTTTTTCAGGGAAAATGACCACCCGAATTGGTCATTACAAGCAATAACACACGACTAGCACAATAATCCATCCGCTCCACACGACGACATCTTAACGACATACAGCGACAGAAGAGAAATGAAGTACCGAATTTGCGCTAGCACTTTTGAAACCACGTCACCATGTGACCACGTAGCTACGTCAACAGACTCGGGGTGGCACGCAGGCATAAAGAAAATTGCTTCATGTGCTATGCAAGAGATGGTGCCGCTTCGCTTCATCTTCGACCTTCATCCTCAACTGTTTTTCCTTCATTCTATACCTCACTACGGTGTTCAAATGACAACGGGTTCAAATGAGAAAGGATCGAAACGCGAAAGGTTAAAACGCGAAGGGCGTTTTG